GAGAAGAAAACCATAGGCTCTGCATTGAGTTCCCAATTTAAGAAACTGTTGCTGGTACAACCATAGAGAATAATAATAACAATATAATAATGAGAAACAACACCAACAAAGCAGACAAAAAAAAAACCAAATACTACAACTCACCAACTCCATATATATATATATATATATATATATATATACACACACATCCATCCCACACATTAGAATTCAATACACCGACGATTAAGATTTACCCACTCTTAAAGGGGGCCCAACAACGCAATTACCAACAACCATCAACTCAAAACAGAAACCCATCATGACCCATTAACTCTGAAAAGGGCATCACAGCAAATATAGTATGAAGCATAATTTTTTCTTTTAGGTCCACATATTTTTGTTTTTTGTTTCTTCTTTTCTTGGATGCCACAATTTGCCCCCATGGAAAATTACCAAGTCCCATAATGCTTTGGGTGTTATATAAGAAGGGAAAAAAAAAAAAACAAATGGATTATTGGATTCTTGTAATGGTGAGAGGATTTTGTAACCTTTGTAGTTTTGTGAAAAACGACAAGAAAAGACAGCTCAAGTGGAGCAATGAGATGGGATTTCAAAGAATATGGGATTGCAGAAACACAGAGACAAAAGAGGAAAAAGAAAAATAGCATAATATGGGATTTCAAAAAAAGGAAACTTTTTTTTTTATCTTTATCTCTACGCTTAAATTGCTTCAAAATTACGTTTGTGCTTGCAAAGGAAAAATAGCATGAAAACGATTTATGGGAAACAAGAACGTTGATAATCCATGAGGCGAAAATGTGGAAGAAGGGACACGTGTCGCTTTGTCATGAGAGTCGGAGATCCCGGTGAAAATGAGTTCGTAGTTAATAAACTAATTAAAAAACAAGCATTAACAACATAGCAATAAGTAAGAATATAAATAAATTAATTAAATAATATAAAGATTATTAAAAATTAGAATAAGAAAAACTAACCAAGCAGCCTCGGAATGCTGATTGTATCTTAACGGCAGCCCACTCCTCACGAATCCCGGCGCCGCTTCCTCTAACGTACGCCGCGGGGTTCTTGGCGCCGCCCCTGGTTAGCCGTACCACGGCGGCAGCAGCCTGAGCCGCCGCCACGGCTGCTTCTGCTACTGCGGCGGTCGCGGCGGCGACGGCGATGGCGTGCTTGTCTTGGTTGCCGGAGAAGTCCTCACCGGAAACGTCGGGAAGTTGGTTGTAGGAGGCGGCTCCTCTGGTGGTATGAGGTTGATCTCCGGCGTCGGGGTGGTGGTGGTTGTGGAGGGTAGTTTGGTCTTTTTCTCTGTAGGACTTGACGAAGCTCCATCGCCGCTTCTCCTTGGGCGGTTTGGCGGAAGAAGAGTCGGTGGAAGACTTCTTGAGGGCGAAAAGACCGCGAAACCACTTAGAAGCTTTTCCCATTGTGGTTGTTTGTGTTTTATCGGAGACTGTGGGTGATTTCTAGAAAGTTCTTCTGTGAGGTTTTGTGGTTGTGGAGTGACATTTGCAGAGAAAAATAGTAATGAAGAGTGTGAGATGGAAGAAGAAGAAGAAGAGAGAAGGTAGCAGTTGACACTAGTTGTTATAAAAATACGGAATGCATACGGTCGTGGTCGAGATCGTAAATATTTATTGCTGGATATTTGCGGGGAAGTTTTGTTTCTTTGCTTCAACTACACTCGCTTCTTCCGCGCGTGCGTTACAAAATCCAACCTTTTTGGTTGATTTTTTTTTTTTTTACTTTTTTTCTTGAATATCTTTTCTTTTAGTATTTTTAAATATGTCCTATTTAAATATTTTTCTTTAATTTATACTTATTAAATAACTTTTTTTTCTAGATATGTTCTTGTTTAAATATTTTTTAATCTATCTGTTACTCCATTAAAATAATTTTTCTTAAATACGACTCTTTTTATAAATATTTTTCTTTTAATTTTTCAGCTCAAATAATTTCTGTTCTTTACTTGAAAATTTTTTTTCCTTGCAACCTCTCAAATATTACCTCTAAATAATGTACTATTTAATTTGTCAAACTAATTTTTAATATGCTCAACTTATTTTAGATTTTTTTCTACTAAAAAAAACTTATTTTATTTTTTTCCTTTTAAAAAAAAGCTCTTGATAAAATAATAAAATCTTTTACATTAAAAAAATTTAGCATACTGAACACGAGTGCTTCAAACTGGTTATATACTGTACAACTCTTTAACATATAGCTCTTGCCTCGTACATTGGACTGATAGAATCATAGGAGACGTGGCCTAATTTTTTTATTTATTTTTTCTTATTCGACACACGACTTAAAAGACGTTTGGTTGGAAGATTTAAATCATGTGATTCGAATTATTTTTTATTTATGTGCATTTTTGTGAGAAAAAATACTGTAACGAACTACAAATTATAATTTAAATCAAGAAACGAATCATTCTACCAAACATCCTCGTCTGACTTACTATTCCTTTCGCGGTGTGCAAATGAAAAATGCGGATTTTTTTTTTTTTGTGAAAGGAAAAATGGGGAAATAATTTAGTAATAACTCTTTGTATGTCTCACTTACTTTGTCTCTATATTAAATTAGAGCCACTCTAGGGGGTCATATTATCCATCAAATATATATATATATATATATAAGTGTAACTAACATGTCAAATTCTTCACATAACTTTTGTCTTTACTTGCCGACATTTGGTAATTTTGGAACAAAGATGATTAATTAATTTGAGAAACTATTCTCTTGCTTAATCACGAGGAACTTGTTTGGATTTACGAAGCGTGTTAGCAATAAAGAAAATTTTACACGTCACGCTTCAATCTTCATATAATTTTTTATACACATACTTAATGAACATGTTTTTTTTTTTTTTTTTTGCTAAGTAATGAAAATGCTGTTTAATACTACGCTCAAATAACCGGTCCAAATCAAGTACAATTCTCATAGTTTTACTAATATTTCTTAAATTAAACATATGTGGTCATGTTCATTTCGCTGATTTAAGTTTAGAATTCGAATTGAGATGTGATTTTATGTATGAGCTTTTTATTGTAGCAAAAAAGTTAAATGTGATTGTTTGTAAGAGCTTTTTACTGTAGTAAAATTCGAATTCTAAATTCGAATCAGCGAAACGAACGAGGCCATATCACCACTTCGTTTACTATGGACAGAGATTGCGGGTGAAAGTAATTAACCACTCACTTTAAATCGTCAAGAGGTTGGTATGATTTTGTGGATCTTTTTGGCCTCGTTCGTTTCGATGATTCGAGTGTAGAATTTGAGTTGAGATGTGATTGTATGTGAGAGCTTTTTACTGTAGTAAAAAAGTTAGATGTGATTGTTTGTGAGAGCTTTTTACTGTAGCAAAACTCGAATTCTAAACTCGAATCAGCGAAACGAACGAGGCCTTTGTTGGCGCATTCTTGAAAAAATACCTCTTTTTTTCAACATTCAATATTAAACCCCACCCCACATTATCAAACTCCATAATTAGTTGGATGAGTTCACGTAAATTGTCACTTGATTATTTGAGTGTTGGTTGAGAGAATGTCCAGAGGCAATAATCACTCGTTGTGGTCTAGTGATAATGGAGTATTATGGTGGATTTGTTCAGGATTTTGAAGGTTGGGTTAAAAAACGGTATTATATATGAATGTTTGTTTCTTACTAATCTAGTACTCAATTAAAAGTGCTTCGGACAATAACTCATCGCACTATTACTGTCAACACATTTGATTAGCAACGTCTAAAAAAATATACACTAACGATCGTCACGCATTCCCAAACTTTCCCGCGGTTAAGAAAATTGAGAAAGGCAAATACTACAGAGCTAAGCCCCCTAGCTACGTTATTATAAAATACTGTTTCAATTCGAATCGGTGAAATGAACGATGTCTAAGATTACGTTTGTTATGAGGGTTTTAGAATTAGAGTCCATAATTATGGTTATAATATTTGTTTATTTGTAAAAAGTAAAAAATAGTTTTTGAAAGCTAGTATTTGGTTTGAATAATTCTGGTATAAGAATTGGATCATGATGTAATGTTTTAAATCTAAACCACCCTAAAAAATAAAACTACCCCCCCTTTAGTTTTAGATCGTTCAAACCCCTAGTTCTGATTTAGGTTCTAAAACTATGGTTTGGACCACATGTTCAAATCATGAATCATAATTCTAGACAATCATGTTTGGTTGCTAGATTTATGTCATGATTCGAATCATAGTTCGTGGTTCGCTGCAGTATTTTTTCTCACAAAAAACACACGTAAATCGAGAATGGTTCTGAATCATGATTCTGAATCTATCAACCAAACGTAGTTCAAATTAGGGTGATTTTAGTTTTAATTTTGAAATCGAAATCATTATTCATGATTTTGGGTCTAAATCACGGTTCTGAAACCAGAATAAGAATCGTAGATTTGAATCACCCAAAATCAAGGGGGTGCATGATTTTAAAATCAAGAGTGATTCATGATTTAAAACATCACATCAACGTTTAAATTTTGAATCAGAACAATCTAAACTAAATACTAATTTTGAATGAGTCAAATCATAACCACTTTTTACTTTTTGTAAATAAATATGAATTTAAATCTAAAATCATAATTATGAATTTAAAATCCTTATACCAAATAACTCTTAAAATTATTATGATTTGAACTCTCATAGCGCATCCTAATACTATTAGGTCCGATTTTTCTATTTTATCGCCCCTGATTAGACCCTCCGACCACCAAAATTTGCATGTCTATCAGCAAAAATGGAAAAGGTCGCATTACTAAAATAGTCGTAAGGAAAGCACGTTGAGGACTTTCTCTAGCTAGAGCCAAGTAGCCAACCAGACAGATGGGTAGATATGTACTGTTGCCCGAGACATGAGTCTGGTCCCACCGCCAGCAAAAATAACCGTAGGACCCACGTACCCTTCCAATCCAACTAATCATCAAACAATTAACTTGCGTGTGGGCCACCACATTAAATTGATCGGATGGGAGATAATGATGCAATATGTCATGTTTGGTTAAGAAGATCGGGAAATAGAAGGGAGTCGCGGAGCTCCACCGGCGGCCACTGTATTTTTATTTTTTAATTATTATATTTGTAGTAAAAATAGCTTTGTGAGTAGTGTTATAAATTTTTAATTTAAATTTATATAAATTTAATCATTAAAAAATTAATTTAACGGTTAAAAATAATTATCCGTTAAAATTTTAAAAATAGAAAGGTAGAAAGTAGAAACATTAAAGTGAGGAAAAAAAGAGTTTTTTTTTAAAGATAAATATTACAGTGTTTTTAGCCCAAAAAGACTCACTAATTTCGTCATATTTCATCTCAAATTTGGTTTGTCTAGCTTGCAGCTGCAAACACCACCCTCATGACCTTAGCGACCTCATCGATACGAGCTTGTGCGCAAAAATATAAGGTTTAAGTTTCGTTCATTTTATCGATTTGAGTTTTCAGTTTTAAGTTTTTACAGTAAAAAATTATCAGAAAAAGTCATATCTAACTTTTTCTGCTACAGTGAAAAGCTTTTAAAAAATGTCACATCTTAACTCGAATCTGCGAAATGAACGAGACATAGAGTCCAATAATGCATCTAAAGAAAGACGTTGATCAGTACACTCTTTTTTTTTTTCTTTTTTTTTTCTTTTTTTTTTCCTTTTTATCTCCTTATATTCAGAATCGACACTCTCTTTTCTTTTCTTTTTTTTTTCTCATTGAGGAGATTTCCAAATTTTTTTTTTTTTGTAGAATTAGAACAAAAGGAAGTACGAATGATGCTTGTAACAGGTTGTCCAGTAATGGTATGAAAATTGCATGGTTATTTTAGTAACTTTATATTGGATCATATGATAGACAAACTTTTTTTTAAAGAATAATATGCTGGGCAAATTTAAGTAGTTAAGAGTACCAAATAAAAATACTATTGCGAGAGATGACATCAAAGAATTGGGCATGTTCTTTTGTTTAAAAAACTCAAAAAAAGACAATTTAAGTTTCAACTTTATTTAAGTTCACGTTTTTTTAAGTTTTAACTTTATTTAATTTTACTCAACTATATTTAAATTTTAATTTCAACTCAAGTTATAACTCAAATTCAACTAAAAAACTACACTCAAGTTATACTAATTAATCATGAACTAATACTGTCATGAAAATTCAACATCTTTTAGCATTAACATTGTGATTTGTACTTAAGACAAAGGCAACAAAAAGGTTACCATCGTTTTACGAGGATTCTCATATTTTCACCCGTTCAGTTAACTGATTTGAGTTTTTAATTTAAGTTAAGATGTGATTTTATGTGAAAACTTTTTACTGTAGTACAAAGGTTAGATGTGACTGTTTCTAAGAATTTTTTACTATAATAAAACTTGAATTCTAAACTTAAATCAGTGAAATGAACGATAAGCCGCTGTTAGTTTAATCCACATGCCACGTATAAAGTTGTTATTCAGCGAGGGTGAGCTAACTACAAAAATCTTTTTCAACTATGGATTAACTTCAGCAACTTTCTCTTTTAATTTAGTCAAGCATCGCAATAAACAAAATACAAGCAAGCTCTATGTAACCATATGATATAAAAATACTCTTATAAACTCGGCCATTAAAATTAAAGCCAACGATTAAAAGGCTTGATTTTTTGATGGAATAAAAAATAATATCTTAACTTAATATTTAGAATTTTTTTTAACAAGACAACATATCAATAAGTTAAATTTTTTATCCGTTAAATTCACATAAAAATAAAAAAAATACACAAATTTAACGGTTAAAAAATTTTTAATTCATATACCACAAAATCTTCCATTTTGTCGTTAAAAGTTTTACAAAGCATAGGATTTATCGAAAACAAAAAAAAATTAAAATTTGCAAAATTTTATAAAGTTTTTTTCTTCAACTTTAAAAAAGGCAAAAGAAAGATTAGTTTCAGCTTTCAAGCCTCACGTGCATCGTATAGATCAATAGGGTTGGACTCTAATCACAGCCTACGAACCTAATAATCATCTTCTGTTTCGCCTTGTCAACTCACTAGATTGTGGTTTTTTCCTCTTTTTGACTGAAGGACAAAATTTGATGCTCTCAGGCACCACACATCAATTTATTTATTTTTATTTATATTATAAGTTGTTTAATTGTTAAATTCATGTTATTATTTAAATTATAATTTGTGATTCGTTATAATATTTTTTTTTATAAAAAATACATAAATTAAAAATAATTTTGAATCATAATTCTGAATCTATTAACTAAACGTCTACTTAATTTTTAGACTGTTTAATTTTTTAATTTAAATTTAAGTGTAATTTTATATAATTTTTTTTATTATAATAAAAAATTAAATATAATTATTATTAAAATTTTTTTATTATAATAAAATTTAAATCCTAATCCAACAAGTGTTGAAGATGGGGAGAGTCGAGAGATACTCTTCTCAGCTGCCGCCCCACTCGCCGACATTGACATGAACGTCTCTTGGTCACCTTTGGCTACCTGATCCGTGGCCCTGAACCACTGATAATTTAACACGTGGCATGACATGATAGTCACTCGTTTCTGATTGGGTAGCAGGTGGGAGCGGTCAACATTAGCCTCCTCAGTCAACCTGCGTGAGTTTCTTAATTTATTTTTTATATTATTATTTTTATATTTTTAAGATTTTTTATTTATTGAAGGAAATAAGATTGAGGAGTGTATATGAGTTTTACTCGGTCAAATTTCTCTGCCACATCAACTTTGAAAAGGGCTATCGGCTTCTTCTTCTTATTTTTTATCCACGTTTTATTTGTATAAAATCATTCTTAGGTGTTTAATGAAAAATTCGTTTAAATGTTTGCCAAAATTTACAATGGGTATTTGATTATTTGGTTGCTAGATTTATATCATGATTTGAATCATAATTTGTAGTTCGTTATAAGTATTATTATTTTAATTTTTAATCGATCTGATCTATGATCAGAAGTGAATAGACATCATATATTTTAAATTTTTAACACGGATATTCACAGTCTTATTCATTTTATCGATTTGAGTTTTTAATTTTAACTTTTTACAATTAAAATTTTTTAAAAAATGTCACATATAACTTTTTGTATTACAGTTAAAAATTTTCAAAAAAATATAACATCTCAGCTTGAATCTACGAAATGAACGAGATCATAAATCAAATTATTAAAAAATTAATTCAACAACTGAAATAATAATACTTACCATAAGAATTCTCTTAAGTATTTTAGCGTTGTGAGTGCTTTTGGGTATTAGTAGTTCTACTGCTAACAAGCATGTTTGTGATCCAAATAGCAAATTCGCTTGTCCTTTTTTTTTTTATTATTATTATATGAAATGCTCCTGTCTTTGAAAAGAAAAAAGTGTCTTATTAGAAGATAAAAGACATTGAAAAGTTATTAAAACTTTTTTCATTTGTTTTTGTAGTTTTTATAGCAATGTGGTCTTGTTTAATCATGAGTCAGTAGTGGTCTTACCTTGCATTGGACGTCATAGCCATTTTTTGATGTAAAGCAGTGACAAGACTAAACAACCACACCAGGTATACGTTACATTATTATCATTCCCTATGTAAACCTAAATGCTGATCCTACCACCTACTTTCTTTCTTTGGACTTTGTAGGGGTTACTTTTATTGAGTTGTTATGGGGTTATATTTTTGAGTCACTGTGGTATGGATGTAGATTTTAAGTGAGTTTATTTAGTTTATAGATTAGAATTGTGTGATTAGAATTATTTTTAATTTATGTGTATTTTTTATGAGATAAAATACTATAGCGAACCATGAATCATGATTCGAATCAGGGAATGAATCTCTCTACCAAACATCACTTTTAAGTTATAATTTGAGTTAAAGTTATAATTTGAGTTCGTGTTTAGATGTGCACATTTAAGTTACGATTTAAATTAAGAATTTATTTAAGTTTGTATTTGAGTTGGTCAAAACTTGAATTTGTATTTAAATAGTATTTTAATAAAAACTCACTGATGATGAAAAATTTTAATATGGTATATGAGTAGAGTTTTATTCGTCTTTTCGTTGTGAACACATAGAAAAAAATCATTTCAATCGGAATTAAAACGAAAAAGTTATGACGTTTTTAAGAATAAAAAAATATTGTTTATTAACTTAAGTTTGAGTTTAACTTGAGTTGAAGAGGAAACTTGAATTCATATTTTAGCCATAAACTCAAGTAAAAACTCGAGTTAAAACTCAAGTTCAAACTCAAATTTTACAAACGAACGTGAATTTTAATAAAATTATAACTTGAGCTTAAATTTTTTTTTGAGTTTTACTCCAAAAAAACAAACTCTATATTTCCGCTAATTCTGAGAATTTACACTTTGTAAATTAGCATGTGATGATGCTAATATTACATAAATCATGATGAAATATTAATCATGTTAGAACTTTAAGGTCTCATTTATTTTACCGATTTAAGTTTTTAGTTCTAAGTTTTTATAGTTAAAAACTCTCATAAAATGTCATATCTAACTTTTTCTGTTACAGTTAAAATTTTTTAGAAAACATCACATCTCAATTCGAATTGAAAATTCAAATCCCCAAAGCGAATGAGGCCTAAAATTCTTTCTTTGATATTGAAATTTCTATCTACTAATTAAGGTTTATTTATATACTTTTCAATGCTTATCTCGTATTGTGATATAAAAATATGAAAATATTAAGTTTTTAAAATAAAATATTTCATGATTTACTATGTCTCAATAAAATATTCCCATAATTTTTTTAAAAAAATGAATTTCACTTTGTTATTAATGTCCTCTATTAGGTGTAGTAGTTGTATCAATAGTAGTGATAAATAGTGTTAATTTTCTTTTGGAAACAAAATTATGAACACATGATTTATACTGAATTTCGATATCTTCAAAATTCAATATAGTTATGGACTCTAAAAAGAATAAATATAGTTATGATATTACCTGACATTTACAACAATAACATACAAAATCTTAATGAGATATGGGTAAATAATAAAAATTGCGCAATTTCTAACTAAAATAAATAAATAAATAAAAAGCGCTATCTATGTCTTCTATTGACTATCCCTTGTAGCACCGACCCTAACATAATATAAGTCCATTTCTAATAAATACTTGTGACCCCACGGCCCACAATAAAGATTTAAGTGGATTTCCATTGATTAATTCCAGTCACTGTACTTGGAAAAATTCCAAGTTTCTTTCTGAATCATAGATGTCATCAGTCATCGTCATGAACTATAGTCGTAGTTTCGATCTTCATGGTTGTTGAAACTCTGAAAGGAACAGGAAGAACATGTATGGAATCTGTAACAAAGGGACAAAGTCGTATAGAATTGTGGACACTGGTAATTAAAATGTCCAATGTACAACTTGTTATTAACTTCCGCACCCACTTTCTCACATTATTGTTACTTTGACTTTTTTTATTTATTTATCAATACGGACCTCTAGGGTCCGTTTAGTTCGTTGATTTGAGTTTTTAATTCGAGTTGAGATGTGACTTTATATGAGAATTTTTTACTGTAACAAAAAAATTAAATATGACTATTTTTTAAAACTTTTTACTGTAACAAAACTCGAATCAGCAAAATTATCATCCTATTTTACCTATGTTGTTTGACCTGGTTGTCAACTACCATTGTTACTTGACATTAATGGTAACTTGAGGACCGAGGCCTAATGAAGGTAAATGGTATAATATTTCCTTCAACTAGGACAAAATTGATGCCGATAGGTTAAGTATAATATTAGAGAGTAGTACCAATATATGCAAAATAGAGAAATTAATAATTGTTGGAGCATAAAATTTGATATTTGCACAAGTTAAAAGCTTAAACTTTTACAAGAATTGACAAAACACTATGATAATTGTACTACATTAACCTAATCTAGTCTCATATACAACTTACGTGGGTAATCTTCTTCTTTTCCGTGTAAAACATATATGCGTAATTGAGGCATCTAAAAGATTCTAAAGACTAAAGAGCTTTTTCTAAACTTGTTTCTAACTACGTTTATCATCAACAAAGAACTTGTTTGTTAACGATCCAAACCACAAAATTCATTCTAGAGTTCCGAGCTTCTCTATTCTCTGAGTAGACAACGGCGCAACTCGCGGTATTAGAATGGCAATTCTTCGGATTATGTCTTCGAACGGCGGACGCTGTTGGGGGTCGCTGCTTGTTTTGCAACACATAAAAGGTGATTAGGAAAACTTGCAAAGTTTCAAGTACTGTAATTATAGTAAATAGTCTTCAAGTCAAAATTACCTTTTCCAACAATCTCGTATTATGGATGCTACTTGTGGATCAAGTCCTTCTGGTAAATCTAATCTTCTATCCATGAACCCCACAACTCCAACAACCTTTTCAGATGGGAATTATGGAAATGTTAACATCAAATTTTAGGTGGGGGGTTGCGGATTTAATCTCGTGTTGTATCAAAAAAATTTTGAGGTATTAAAACTAAGAAAGCTGAGATATTAGTTGTGAGAGATAGAAAGAGAGACCTGTAAGGCGTTCAAGTTGTTCCATGGGATGGATTCAGTCATTAACTCCCATAATATGACACCAAAGCTGAATACATCAGACCTGTTCACAATCACAGGAAGATAATGCCATGATAATCAAGGTCAAACCAGTAGGATAATCTTTCAAATACAAAATTTGAAGCTCGGGTTTTGCAGCAACGTACTTCTCGTTTGAAGGTTCATTTCGGATGATCTCCGGGGCCATCCACTGAGGCTGCATTAAGAAACACAAAAGGCCTCCGTTATGTCATCAGTGAGAGAGCTGGTCACTGGTGAAAGATACTAATCCTTTTTAACACCATGTCAAATTCAAGTTAAGAGCTTAACACATACAGAAAGAAAGAAGAGATGGATAAGATAGAATTACCGTTCCTCTTCCTGATTTTGCAGTTAAGAAGGTCGCATTTTTCAACTTTGACAAGCCAAAATCTCCAACCTGAAGGTATAAGTGTCCAAGGTATACAACTGTTACATGTGTATACATGCTTGTATATTCTTTATGTTAATTTAACCCACCCATCAATAAGCTCATTCACCTTGACAGTCCAGTTCTTGTCAACAAGGAGGTTAGAAGATTTCAGATCTCTGTGCACTATTGGTGGATTTCTGTGATGCAAATAGTTCATACCTCTAGCCTGCAGTACAAGTGTGCCATTTTTTATTTAAAAGCTTAAGGATTAACAACTTAAAATTTCATGGTTAAATTGAATGTTAGTGCATTTACAAACAAGGACGGAAAAGAGAAGCGGAGAATGAATACTCACAACATCGAGTGCCATCCTCAGACGCCGTCTGATGTCTAATGCCTGATTGTTTTTATGAAGTGTTTTGAAAAGGCTTCCCCTGCTCACGCAAACAAAAATCAGCACAAATTGCTGCTATAACAGTATTTTGCATTTAACTCTAGAAGACATTCATTTTGCTTTGTCTTACCTTGGTAAGAATTCTGTGACAATCGTTAGCCGTTCTTGTGAATATGCTGCTCCCATGAACAACAATACATTTGGATGTCTCAACCTCTTCATTATATCAATCTAACATGATTAAACAGGAGAAAGATCATGAAATTATCCCTGCATTAAGTATCTTCCAATCCCAACAACATTCACAAACAATTTGAAGCTAGATGAGAGTCCATCAAAGTACCTCATTTTTGTAGTCTTGTAAAGCTCCTTCACTGTATTCATTCGTCAAGTACACCTTAATGGCAACATCCTGGTCAAACAAATATTCTCAAGATTAAAACATCACTTGATGATCCTAACATTAACGAAGAAACTTCAAGGATAGTTTTACTCATGAGTATGTACCGATCCATTCCAAATTCCACGATAAACGACGGCATAGAAACCTGTCAGGTAAAAACAAACAGATATTTAGTGTTAGATGGTCACCAATCATGCGTAAACTAAGCTCAGCAGAAATGTAATAAAAACTTCAAATAATGAGCAATATTTTTACCTTGTCCAATCTCCTCCCCAATATGCAAGTCCTCCCAGTGAATCTCACAATCAACTACAGAGTTGGACTCACCATCACCTTTGCTTGATGAACTTCCATGACTGCCAATGCTTCCCTCCGAACTTAACAATTGTTTATCATTTCTTTGTACTTCGTCTTCTGCCCGCACAGCAACCAAGTTGGATTCTTCTTCCTCTGCTTCATCTTCATGGCTGCCTAACTTTTGCAATGGATCAACAGTTTTAGACAGCCCAAAACACTGGTAGCACTCGCTCTGTTCAAGGCAGTCATAAGTTGATTTCTTGGAATCACTCGGAGGTTTCTGCTCAGTTGTTTCTTCGTTCCTCATTGGAGAAGTGTCGCAGCTTGCATCAGGTTGAGTGCTTCCATGATCATCTTCATTACCATTGTTGCCACTTCCCTTAATCTGTAACTTTGCCAATACTTTTGCAGCCTACGACCACCCAAATTCAATGGCTTAGCTGAAAAGTAAACAATACTAGGAAAAAAAAAAGTGTATATAATTTTGAGGAAGATGAAATCCAATTAACTTCTCTTCAAATAATGATGGTGTTGGTCCTAGAGGAAGTTTAGTCTATCATTCTTTGACTTAATTCTGACTACTTATTTGCGAAAAATAACATTAAGTTGTCATAAGCATAGGAAATACCAGATTGGAAACTGATGATGCAATCTCTGGTGACGGGACTGTTGGTGGCCGTGGATGCCACTTGATCTTTTTGAAGTTCAGCCGCTGGTCTCTATATTGGCGATCAACACGATCCTCATTTGATCTCTGGCTATCTGTTCCAACACCATTAAACCCTGCTGCATCACATGCAACAACGATGACACCAACAAGCTCACCGTTTTCATACAACGGGCTTTTCGTCACCATCACCATGAATATCTTGCCAGACCTCTTCTTGAAAGGGAACTGACCGGACCACGGTTCCCCAGTGCGCAACAACCTTCTCATGATCTTCTCCAATGTCATATAATGTTCTTCAGGGATGAGGAGTTCAGTGAAACACTTTTGACCAACGACTTCGTAGTCCTTCCATCCATACAGATTTTCTGCAGAACGGTTCCTGAAAGTTGGAAAACTTATCATCCTGTTCTGAAAGGATGTGTGAATGTATTGAACATGAAAGAAAAGGCACTGAAACATACACTTACATATTCTCTCCCACTTAAAAGAAAAGAAAAAAAAAATAGTACCACAAATAAGTACTCAAAAGGGCTTGATGTAAACAATCATATAGAACTCCAACTTCTAATATGACCCAAAAAAAAAAAAATCCTAGCAATGTTTGGTCCTTTACTAGTTATCTTATAAAGGTGTAAACAAAGTTCCTGAAATTTGCCTCAAAGTTGATTAATTTTATTGTTGGAAACAAAACAAAAGGTAACGCCATAACGCATCAATAATTCCAACTTACCGTATAGTTTCTATATTCGCTCATCATCTTTGTTCATCTTTTTCTTTAGTCTTTTATGGTCAAAGCATTGAATTTGAAACCAAAAAGGTAAAATTCAACTGTACATGTTCACAGTTTTTTTTTTGGTCGTCCCATAAATAGACAACTAAACAAACCTTTTCCAATGAAATTTAATTCAAGAGCTAGCAAGCCCATATATATTTTTTCCTAAGGGAACTTTTATCAAACACTTCTATTTACATCAAAACATATAAAACGTTCATTAGTTCCAAGATCTAGCCAATAACCATATATTTTCTTTCAAGATAGTACTGTTTCATCCAAAGTAAGCTCCGAAAAAAAAACACGGGAATTACAAAAAAAAAAAAAAAAAGAGAAAAAAGAGAAAAATATTAGTTGTTAATTAATTATTACCAATACACGATTTCTCCAGAGGAAGCTCTGTAAACATGAAGAGAGTGTCCCAGCGAGTCCAACACCCTCTTGTACGGACTGCCCGTCGAGAAGTACCCCGGAAGAGGGTAATCCGACGTCACCCCGGCCAAATCCTCTTCGTTTTCGATATTCTTCATCTTCTGTTGCGTAAGGTCCCGGAGCTTCTCGGCGAGCCTGGCATGGCTCTCCTCCAGGCTCCGGCAGCGATTCACGAGGGCTTGGTAGAGACGCTCGGAGGAGGAGGAGGAAAAATTGTCGCCGGCCATGGAAGTCGCCGGAGGCTCGCCGGAGTAGGGTTGCGCAATGCGCATAGTAGTCTTCTTTTCATAATTTAGCTTGTTGGTTTTGTGTTGTGCTGGTCGCCATGGTTTTTCTTTTTCTATACAAAAACACATTTCCTTGTGACGTCACGCGTACCAAATATTATTTTTTTAAAAATAAAATTTATTTTGCCTCATAAGTATTTCTAAAAGTATTATAGTAAAACAAACATTTCTATAAATAATTTAAAATCATAAATAGAGTTTAGTGATACACTTTCTGAATTTCCCACCTTCCTGGGGGACTGTAGACAAGTTCCTAATATAATATATGATTCATTTATTTAAAAATTTATGAGACGTTTGGTTTATGAATTCAGAATTATGAGTCAGAATTATTCTCATTTTATGTATATTTTTTATGAAAAAAATATTGTAACCAATTACGAACTATGATTCGAATAATAACATAAATCTCCTTTCTAAACGTCCCCAGAATTTAAACTCAATTTAAGTGTTATAATATAATAATAGAGTGTGAATTTATCATTATTAAGCTAAATTATGTAGGTTTTTTTTTCACAACAGCAAGATGATTATCATTATTATTATTTTTTTGGCCGAAGAAACAGCTAAATTTAAGAGTATGTTTGGTAGGAAAGAAAAGTAGAAGGAAGGAAGAAGGTGGAGGGATTTTAGGAGGGAAAATGAAAATATAGGTTGTTTGGTTGGAGAGAAAAGAGAAAGGAAGAGAAAATAGAGTGGAAAATAATACATGTGGGCCCCATCATTTTTTTTCTTTCCACAAGTGGGCAGAAAATATGATGAAAAATGGGGACAACTCATTAAAATGAGCAAAGTTATTAAACTACCATTTTCTCTATCAACATCCAAGTAAAAAATTTAAGGGTATAAAAGTAATTTACGAGTAAAATTTTTTCTTTCCTCCCAATTTAACTTCCAATACCAAACAAGTGAAGGTAAGCTCATTTTCTTTCCATCTTCTCATACCAAACAACATAAAAGAAAATCAATTTCCTTTCCATCATTGCTATTTTTCATCACTTTCATATTTCTTTTCTATCATATTTTCTTTCCTCCCTACCAAACATAGCATAAGGTTCTAATTCTACAAACTAGATAGAGGTTCCACGCTCTATTTTACATTTAAGATATAAAATTATTATTTAATAACAGCTAACGAAAATAGTAAAAAATATGTCAATATGAAAAGTTTAAGAAAGTATATAAGCTAACTTTTAGTTATAGAAATTAATAAGTTATAACTTGTCAAGTTATGGTTCATAACCAGATAAGTTATGGATAAATTTATCAAGTTATGATTTATAACCAGACAAGTTATAGATAAAAATTGTGAATTATGGACAATAACTTGTTAAGTTATGATTCATAACCAGATAAATTATGAACAAAAATAATAATTTAACCTATTTATTAATTTATATAAACTATTAATCTATTAATTTTAATGCATCTTGAGTCTTGATTTATTTTCTTCTTTCTCCTTATAATTATTAAGGAATAAAAAACTAGAAAGTATTTTTCAAAGGCGGTTTTTATGACATCCTTTATCCTTCTATAATTTATTCCCATTTTTAATGCCGTGTGTGTAGGAGACGTGGGCCTAAACGGTGCGTGCCACATTTCAGAAGCAGCAAGTTGTGATGTGACGACATGTTATTCGGTCAGAGTTCAGAAGGAAAGGAGGAATGATTGAAGGGAAAGTTTGGCTGCGGTTTGATAGTTTCAGGGACTGAAGCTTCTTATTGGACAACTTTGGTAGTTCCTAGGTTTCGGTCGTGAAACTCGCCCTCGTTTTGCCACTAAATTACGTGATTGCCCAATTTGGCCATTGGCTACAAAAGGAGGCAGACAAACCCCACCGCTCAAACTTTTGTATTGTTGGCCTGTTTAGTATTGTTGTGTTGTGCTGTTAGTAATAAATTATTTTGATTAAAAATGTACAGGTGTTTGATAAATAATTTTATAAAGTTGTTATAAGTATAGGAATAGAAATTTAAGTGTTTAACAAATTGTATATAAGATTATTGTTAAAATATAAAATGATGAAAATAAACATACTTTGATTATAGTTATTTTATTTATATTTTTATGGTGAATATTTATAATATAAAAAAATATATTTTAAATTTTATTAATTAATATAGTTCTTAAAATCCATTCAAAAAATTAGCTCTTAAAAATAAATTATTTTTATTTAAAGAGAAAAATTGTTCATCTACTAATATTTTTTATTGTTAGAGAAAAATTATTCATCTACTAATATTTTTTATTGTTATTTTTAAATATTTTGATAATTATTAAAAACATTTGAATAAATTTAGCATAGAATACTTATTAAAGATTTTTAATTTTTATTAGTTATTTTAAAAATATATTTATTAATTTAGTATGGAAAAAGTAAAATGATATATTGAGAATTAAGTTCTATTATCAAGGTTATCTTAGTAAATTTGGATAATGGCAGTAAAAGTTACTGTACAAAAGTAACTCCTGACCTGCTTCTTAAATTTTGCTGTTTGACAGCTGTTTTTAGAAGCTGCTGGACAAAAGCAGCATTTACCAAACACCTTAAGCTGTTGCAGTTTCTTTAAGAAAGCTAAAAGCAGCCTGTAAAAGCAATGGCAAACATACCCAATCAAATTATGTCGTAGTATAGTTGTAAGTTTGGACTGAACTAAACAAATCGGTTTGAGGTCTGTCACTATTAGCATGAGTCCGATCTAAACTTTCAAACCGGGTTGAGATTTTTAAGTTTAAAAGCTTATTTGGGCGGCTTAACCAGGCTTGAACACCTTTAAAAAAAAGGTTAAAAATTCCTTATAAAATTATGGGCTAACTGATAAGTGCATGAAAATGCACTTAAATTGTTTTTAATTGCTAAATAAATTAAGTTTTAATTAAATATTATTGTGGAATTAATATTTTGTGGAAGTATTTGATTTTAATTTAATTTAATTTGTTTTGTAGGAAAATAAGACATTTGGGCCAAAACTAAAAGAAAAAGAAAACAAAGCTCATCTGCAGCTGTCTGCTGAGCCGAGCCGAGCTGGGCGAATCCGCATGCGCCACGGGTCATTTTCTGGCACGCTCAGTCGCGTGGGACCCAGCTGTCCCCGCACACACGTGTGGTTGGTGTGCACGCCGTTCCCCCTGCGCGAGTCTCTTCCACACGCGCGTCAGCTTTTTCCACTGCGTGGGCTCCAGCTGTGTAGCAACTTCCCTGTCCGCGAATTCGCTTGCGCCACGTGTCCCTATGGGACCCAGATGTCGGCCACTTCTTCCTCTTCGCAAATCACAGCGTGCCATGTGTTCCTTGTGGGACCTAGTTGTCAGCCAATTCTTCCTTCCACCACTCAGCTTGCGCCACGTGTTTCGTGCACAATAACGTTTATTTCTCAGCTTGTGCCACGTGTACTAGCTGTTGTGCTCTTCATTTCCTTCGGTTCCAAACGTTTTGATGGTTTTTCTTCCCACGTTAATCAGCTTTTACTCTCGCAATTAAGCATTGTAAATTCCAATTTAATTGGAATGCGTTCTTTTTTTTTTTCTTTTTTACTGATGGTATTTTTAGTATGCCCTAAAAACTCTATAAATATGGCCTTTGTTAAGTGTATGGTGTCGTTAATTTTTTTAGCTAAAACTTAGACACTTTTTTTCTCTCATTGTCTTGCTTTTCTTATCATATTTTCTATTTAGAATTTTGTGGAAATTATGTGCAAGCTAGGCTAGAGTTCTTGGGTGAGGCTAGAGATGATCCTGTATGTGTAGTAAGCTTGTTTGAGTTTTGATTCTTTAATGGTTTGTAAGTTTTATACATTTGAGTAACTAATTTTCTTTTATCATATTTCTTACTCATATCAATATATTTTATTGTCAACTTTTATACAAATCTAGTCAAGCTCTTTTTATGTGATTGTTGCATAATACTATATTTTGGTTGGTATTATTTTATGAGTAGTCTTTTACTGCAATATTGCCAACGGTATATTGTCGCTTTTAGATTTCTCATAAGATAATTTTTCCTAGTTCTAAATGTAAGAATTTTATTTACAGCCGAACTCTTAACAGTGCTTAAATGAATTATTCAACCACTGAAAAAGAGTTGCTCGCTGTAGTGTTCGCACTTGACAAGTTCCGTGCGTACTCAATCGGTTCACCCATTACAGTCTTCACAGATCATTCTGCTCTCAAGTATCTCCTTTCTAAAAAGGATGCTAAGGTGCGATTAATTTGGTGGATCCTTCTGTTCCAGGAATTTGACTTGACCATTAAGGACAAGAAATGTGTAGAGAATGTTGTGGGGGACCACTTATCCCGATTGGACTTTAAGGACTCTACTGGATGCCCCCGCCATTTGAGATGACTTCCCTGATGAACATCTTTTCGCGGTCATTAAGCTACCTTGGTATGCTCACATCGTCAATTACTTGGTAACTGGTGAACTTCATTATGATTGGAATGCACAAGATAAGCGTAAGTTTCTGGTCGAGGTGCGAAATTTCTTTTGGGATGATCCGTACCTGTTTAAGTACTGCCCCGACCAAATCATGAGGCGTTGTATTCATGATGACGAGATTCTTAGTGTTTTAAACTTTTGTCATAACGATGCCTGTGGTAGTCACTTCTCTGTGAAGAAGACTGCCGCAAAAATCTTATAGTGTGGTCTTTATTGGCCCACTTTGTTCAAGGACACTAATGAGTTTTGTCATTCCTGTGTGAGGTGTCAAAAGTTAAGTGTCCTGTCCTGACGCCATATGATGCCTTTGAACCCAATTCTTGTGATAGAGATATTCGATTGTTAGGGGATAGATTTTATGGGACCTTTTCCACCTTCCTTTGGGTACCTTTCTCTTTGCTGTGGATTACGTTTCTAAATGGGTAGAAGCCGTGCCGTGTCGAACTAATGATAATGCGATAGTTGTGAAGTTCTTGAAAGAGAATGTATTATCTAGGTTTGGTACTTCCGCGTGCTATCATTAGTGATCAAGGCACTCATTTCTGCAACTGATCTTTTGAAGCTCTCATGCG